ACAGTTTTTTAGAACATACACATATCCTATCATATGTATATATATAATATAATTATCCTCCTATATCATATACTGGTTGGTGGTTTCAACCCCTCTGAAGAATACGAAAGTCAGTTGGGATGTTTATTCCCAATGTATGGAAAGTCATAAAAAGCATGTTCCAAACCACCAACCAGGTTTACCACACTCTAAAGATGCTGAAAGATCATAGTCACTATCAACCATCAACCCCATGGATATAATTATCCTCCTAGATCATATAATATATATATATATATATTTGGAAGAAACTCTGGCCACCAACGTTGAGCCGCTCTTCTTCAAAAACGGCGCTTCAACCCGGTCGACGGCGAGGCACCTGTGAAGCTCCAGGAGAGCTGCAAGATCCGTGTGACGCCGCGCAAGACCTCGGCGCGAAACTACGCCGAGAAAAAGCCGCTGGAAGGTGCTGGAGATATAGCAACCCCCCAAAAGAAACGGGGAGACGTGAGAAACTTGGAAATTATAACTATTAATAGCTATGATATATTTCTCATTATATTTTGAACCAGATGTTGAACCATGATAAATTAAATGTGATGATATATATAGTATCGTCTGGTTCAACATCTGGACAAAACTCTTCGGTATCTCGGGGATGGCTATAGATGGAGAATCCCATCCGTTGAACATCCACTGGTTCATCCTCGTTTTCCCATGGGAGGCATAGTCAAGCCACGCACGAAGGATCTGTTGCTGCTACTTGGAGTTGCTTGAGTCGTAGTGGCTTTCACCGGAAAATCAGGAGAATTCACTGAGCAAATCCCAGCCCATCCAGCCCTGAGGAGTATGCTTGCCATGGTAGACGCTCTGGAACAAAATGTTTGGCATGAGGCCCAGCAATTTGATGTGCAACCCGACCTTGGTGCAGAGATGAGGAGACACATCGCACCAATCTTATTGGATGTTTCAACAACTCATTCTGGAAAAAAATAGTGGGATCATCATTTTGAGGTAGGGTGGTCATTTATATGTGGTAGCAGTGTATAATTACATGTGTAGTTTAACTTTAGATAGATCTCAGAATGGATGTCCAAAAATCCCACTGATTGGTTGATTAATAGTGAGTTCTCCCCATGAAAACCAACCAAAAGGTTGATGGAAAAATGGTGATTTAATGGTGGTGATTTAATGGGATTTAATGGTGATTTCTATGGGATACCCTCTAATTGGTGGTTGACCAACCCCTCTGAAAAATGATGGAGTTCGTCAATTGGGATGATGACATTCCCAACTGAATGGAAAAAATAAAATTCATGTTCCAAACCACCAACCAGATATGATATACTATTTATAATGGTTTTATATAAATCCCTATTAAATCCCATTAAAAAGCTATTTGTTGCTGGTTCCAAACCACCAGCCAGATAATAACTACTGATGGAAATCCGGCACCAGTTGATAGCTGGTAAACATCCCATTATTTTGTTGGGGTTTCAACCATCCGTTTGGTGGCGCAGGATTTCGCAACCATATACCAAACCGGCCCCTCGATTTTTCGGCAAAAAAACAATATGTGGGATCTCAAAGCCACCAAGCAACAACCAAAACCATCCAAAACCATCCAAAACCATCAATATTGGGTAAATCCCATTCAGATAACTATAGAAATCCATAGAAATCCCATGTTTATATTATATGGTAAATCCCAACAACCATCCAAAACATGCAAACGGATCAGGCAACTTGCACTGATCATACAGCCTGTTAGCATCTTCCCTCTCAGTGCGGCGCTGCTTTGCGGGGAATTTTGTCGCTGTACCTCGCAGCGTGGGATACCCTTTTGACAGGTGTCTAAAATGTTCCAAACCAACCTAGCTGCTTAGCTATCTTGGTGGCCCCACTATGTAAAACATGCCAAACAAAACTGGTTGGTGGTTTTAACCATCTTGAAAAATATTAGTCAATGGGAAGGATTATCCCATATATCATGGAAAATAAAACATGTTCCAAACCAACAATTAGAAAAATGTCTCTTATATCTCACCAGCAAAAAACTCATGAACGGTTCCGCACGGCTGATCAACTGGACCCAACCCCGACACCAATGCGCAGGTGGGTGAATCATACAGCTGCAGATGGGTGAAACATATTAAATGAGGGTATACATAAGCCAATTATAACTGGCTGACTGGTCCAAACAACGGTAGAACTGGTTGGACTTCACCACTAGAAATGGTGACTTCACCACTAGAATTGATGATTTAACCACAAGAAATGATGACTTAGTATGATTTAACTACTAGAATTGGTGATTTAACCATCATAAATGGTTTACCCACTTCACCACCCTGCAGGGCACCAAAGGAGTGGAGAGCTCGATGCCAGAGGCACTGGCAGAAACGCGGGCACGGAGCTGTGTCAATCTGAGACAGGGCAGCGCTGAAGCCATGAAAACATAAGGAAAATGGAGGTCTAACGGAAGACAGAAATGGGAATTTTAGGGTATATACTGATTTCTGATAGCAACTGTGGGTTAAATTTAGAAATGTAATTAGATGAATTCTATGGTTTATGGAATATTTACTCAGTTTCAGATTATTGATAATATGATATATATATATATGTATTTATAAATAAATATATATATATATATGTATCATTGTATATCTAGATTTAATGGGGTTGTAAGCCAGGTTTTAACTGGGGGCCACCACCTTGTATGGCAATGTTTCATGAAGCAAAATTGGGCTCTTATAATTATGGCCATTGAAAAATGGAACGCATGAGGTCTTAAATTTTAAACCATCAAATTTAGGGATATCCAATTCTCAGCAAAATGATTGTACTCTCAATATATTTATTGTAACAATGCGGGATATCGAGGGATGACTAGCCAAAAAACAAAATATAGTAGTAATGGCATATGCGGCAAAAGGACGTAAAGATCCCAAATAGTATGAATATGTCCATAATGGTACTAGACATAATCTGGTTGGTGGTTTCAACCCCTCTGAAAAATATGAAAGTCAGTTGGGATGTTTTTTTCCCAATATATAAGTCATAAAAATCATGTTCCAAACCACCAACCAGTAATGTTCCAGAACATGTGTGATACCCCAAGAACTGCTTTAACATAGAACCGGGCACATGATGATCAACCCAAGCTAGGGATATCCCAAGCCCCGATGCAACCAGACATGGCAATCAAACATCACATCATCGAAGACATGGCGGATTTGCATATATAACCCATATATATGCTCCATGGTGCTGGAATTTTTACCTACATTTACCCCAAAAATCACCCAAATGTAGGTAAATATTCCATACATAGGGCATATGGGTATAAAACGTGCTTGTTGTAAGTGGCTCAAAAGTGGATTCGTTTTCCTCCACAATCTTCACAGAATGAAAGGCAGCACTGAAGCGAACAAGGCACACCTATTTTTCGGACAGCAACATGTCTCGTGCGGATGCTGGGTGCCAGTGCCAAATGAAACTTCTCTTTACGCCTTCTGCCAAACACCCAGGATCCATCTTGACACATCTGCCACAGAGCCGTCTGCGAAGCATTCCGGAAGTACTGATCATTCACACATTGGCACCACAAGAACTGCTGTGGACACCGAAACAAAGCGACCGATATGCATTGTAATTAGTACGGCGGTTTTGGACTGAAGATGGATCTGTTCCCATATGAACAACGCATGTCGGACATTTCGGGACTATTGTTGGCCTGCCGGGTCTTTCTTCGTAGGGAAAAACATTGCCATCGGGAGATACTCGTTGTCCGGATAATTGGGTCTTAGAAGGGTGACATACCAACAACAATGGCCGTCTAAAGTGTAATCATCAAAGAATCCAACTTCAAGACTGTTCAACTTTTTTTCAATGCGCCAAATGGCGATGACACAACTTGGGGTCCAATTTTGTGTTGGGGGGAAACCCATAGTCCTGGCGGATCCCCAATAGCTGGGGGTGGTGTATTTCATGGAAACTCCGAACCAAAAAATGGATGGTGCCTGGGGTTATATACCCCCATGACGAAACGGAAACCTCCGGGATGGGACAAGTTACCGGAGGTACCCCTTTTTTGTTCACATCAAAATAGCTGGGATTTATGGATGTTCCTACACCTAAAAACCTAAACATGTTATTTTTCCAAATGGCAACCTGTTTCTTCAAGGCTACCAGGAATTGATAGGTATTGATGCATATATAGCCATATAAGCACATCCAAGTATTGACCATCCCATTCTCGGATGCTTCGAGAGATCACATCCTTTGATGTGTGGACTTCGTCACACACATGGTAGGGTGGCAAAACATGGCTTGGCAAAGCGTTGAAATTCAAACTGCTAGGGTGATGTTATAATAATTACTAGGAACATATATCATATGGTTTCCTAAGTCATGGGGGTACCCCAAATCATGCAAGTCGACTATTTTAGTATTGAAACCTATGGTTGTCGGGAGCCCCCATTTTATGAAAACCCCCATATCTGGCTATGCGTCAAGAACTGAGGGTACACATAGACCCACATAGACGATGCTGTCCATTTGCTCTATTGAGCGAATTTCAAATGCTGTTTTACCCGCTAGTAAGGGTGGCAATAGAAAACCCTAATCTTAATGGGGTTTCAATGGGAAAAAACCTCTATAAATGATGGATCTTCCATTGCCACCTTTGATAACCGAAGGGTAATCAGTTCATGTCAAGCCATCCTTCCTTTGTGCATCTTCTGGTCATTATCGCAGCGCATCTCAAGATGCGGTTGGTATTGTTTTGACCGCTTTAAAACAGCAGCGTTCAGGAGACTCTGTTCCGGCGGCGAAAAAATAGCCAATCTTGGATGTCCCCGAACAAAACAAAATACAGTAACTGCTTTGTGTAATATAGTTCCGTTTATGCCATAATTTTCTAAAATTTTACTATATGTATAATACAAAGTCACTAAACTATACATCCAAGGTTGACCGACTAACTCCACGTCCCAACCTCCCTCTGCTGTCAAACTTCATGTCACATGCAGCAGGGACACAGCACGGTACCTCAGCGGCGCTCGACATCTGCTAACGACGAGATTATTCGTGGATCAACACCGTTGGCATCCCCCCCAATTTCACATCAAACTTAGTCGGACTTATGACTTTTGGATGTCAAAAATATGCGAGTTCTTATAAGTTTTGACATTGGCCAATGAATGTTCATTAGACACCAATATTCACGCATATTCAGTCCATTCATTTGACTATGCCCATGAGATAGTGAATATATGATCACAACGATAAACCAATAATACTACATGAGTAGAAACGTTTACCTACTATATACCTATAAAGTATATGGTATTATTATATAGTAGCGTATCATAATAAACCAGTATACTTACTAGTAGGTCACACAAATTCACTATACCGTATCATGGCGAATCTCCCAGATACTGCTAAAAATACGTTTTTTGTTGGTTTTGGTAACTGACTTCCTATTGACAACAGCTTATTGTTTTTTGTTGGTTTGTTTTTTTTAAGTATCTATCCAAGATGGAACCATCTAAATTGATAACCATTATATATATATGACATTACTTATGTGTACAAAAAGAAATGCATAAAACATAGATTAATTATATATAGTACAAACCAGTCTGGGACAACAGCATATTAATATATACTGTAAATATAATAAATATATCAAAAGTATATATTAACTTACTCCACACATACTTCTAGCATAAAAAACAAATCATGGCTATATACCACCCTAACAAACCTGAGTATATAAATATCCACCACCACATGTGGTATCTGTAAATAATTATATCTCAAACACAACATATATATATATATATGCTCTACACTTCCAAAGGCCTCCATACTGAGGTCCTTTCACCAAAGGCCTTCATACAGAGGTCCTTTCGCCAAAGGCCCTCATAAATGTTCATAAATGATATATAATGATATAAAATGATGTTATGCATATCATATCATATCATATAACATCAAAAACAAAGAAAAACATGAAACATCATATAACTTCATATGAGTTATAATGTTTCCCACCTTAATACCACAAACCCTCACAGAGCGCGAACACATTTTAAGCTTTGGGCCAAAACACCTTTTTGATCTGTCCCCCAAATTAGCCCATTGGGTGGAAACAGTTTCCTTGGAATCCAACGGTTTTCAAACCGGGGTCATGCTGGGAGGTGCCTGGTGGCGCGCGGCAGTTCTTCTGCCAATGCAATCTTGCTGAGCTGAGAACTTAAATACATCACGGGACAGGTGGTCGAAGGATCTTACTGGCCCGTATTCTGAACTGGAACTGGCCAGTATTTGTCCAAGATGTTTTTCCTCGACAAGCTTGGGACACTAGTTGCAGACTTCCCAACTCAGATGCCAACTGACTTGGCAAATTCGAGGGATTGCCAAATGGAAAAGCAAAATTGGTGCTGACAAATGAACAGAATCCCAACAGAAACACAGAAGAAAACAAATCAGAATTCAACATAATACATATAAAGCAGAAAAATCATTGCAACACAGAATGGAGACATAGAAGAAAACACAACAGAAAACAAATCAATATAACAAACATAACAAACATGTAGAAAAACAAGACATAAACCAATTTTACTCAGAAACATAACAGAAAAAAGAAAAACAAAAGTCGGAAACATAACAGAAACATAGCACTAAAACACAACATAATTCATAATTTAAGCAAGAACATAACAGAGGCAAAACATAAAACAAGACATAAAACATCAAATAGAGAGCAAACTGTGAAACATACTGGAAACAAAACATACAAAGAGACCAAAAACATAAAGTAGAGAGCAAACTGCAAAACATACCAGAAACATAACATAAAACACGCCAAAAAACATAAAATACAGAGCAAACTGCCAAACATAACAGAAACATAACATAAAACAAAACATAAAACATAAAATAGAGAGCAAACTGCCGAAACATAACAAAAAACAAAGCATAAATGCATTTTACATAAAATAGAGAGCAAACTGCGAAACACAACAGAAACATACAGAAACATAAATGAAGTTTACATAAAAGCAGCAGCGGAGAGGGGCATTGTGGACGGAACCACAAATGGAACCCACTTTAAGCCTCAAGTTTTGAGCCAAGTGCTTGAATCCAGGAAAGGAACCCAGCTCAATAAACGGTGAATCCTGCATTTTAGACTTCGGTTGGTGGGTGCTCGAGGGGAAACATGAAAATGGAAGGAGTATGCTTGAAATTGTGAACATTTTTGAAGAATGGATCAACTAAACTATTGAACAACTAAAGTTGGGCCCTGACATGTTCTGACGGCATCATTTTCATGTTTTCCCATGATGTTCCAACACTCAAAAATTGAAGAAATTTGGGCCCCCAATTCACGGGCCTTTCACGCTGTGGGAAGTCCTTTCACGCAATGGGAGGTCCTTGTCACGGATTTTCACGGGAATTCACGCGTGTTTTGCGCCCATCCCGGCTTTGGTGCTGAGAGCACGGGAGTCAAACATGTAAAACAAATTTATGTTTGTGTATGTTTCTGTTATGTTTCGCAGCTTGCTCTCTATTTTTATGTAAAATACATTTATGTTTTGGTATGTTTCTGTTATGTTTCGCAGCTTGCTCTCATTTTTTTATGTTTTATGTTTTGTTTTTTGTAATGTTTCGGCAGTTTGCTCTCTATTCTATGTTTTGTGTTTTGTTTTATGTTATGTTTCTGCTATGTTTGGCAGTTTGCTCTGTATTTTATGTTTTTTGGCGTGTTTTATGTTATGTTTCTGGTATGTTTTGCAGTTTGCTCTCTACTTTATGTTTTTGGTCTCTTTGTATGTTTTGTTTCCAGTATGTTTCACAGTTTGCTCTCTATTTGATGTTTTATGTCTTGTTTTATGTTTTGCCTCTGTTATGTTCTTGCTTAAATTATGAATTATGTTGTGTTTTAGTGCTATGTTTCTGTTATGTTTCCGACTTTTGTTTTTCTTTTTTCTGTTATGTTTCTGATTAAAATTGGTTTATGTCTTGTTTTTCTACATGTTTGTTATGTTTGTTATGTTGATTTGTTTTCTGTTGTGTTTTCTTCTATGTCTCCATTCTGTGTTGCAATGATTTTTCTGCTTTATATGTATTATGTTGAATTCTGATTTGTTTTCTTCTGTGTTTCTGCTGGGTTTCTCTTCATATGTCAGCACCAAATTTGCTTTTCCATTTGGCAATCCCTCGAATTTGCCAAGCCAGTTGGCATCTGAGTTGGGAAGTCTGCAACTAGTGTCCCAAGCTTGTCGGGGAAAAACATCTTGGACAAATACTGGCCAGTTCCAGTTCAGAATACGGGCCAGTAAGATCCTTCGACCACCTGTCCCGTGAGGTACTTCAGTTCTCAGCTCAGCAAGATTGCATCGGCAAAAGAACTGCCGCGCGCCACCTGGCACCTCCCAGCATGACCCCGGTTTGAAAACCCTTGGATTCCAAGGAAAGTGTTTCCACCAAATGGGCTAATTTGGGTGACATCATAAAGGTGTTTTGACCCAAAGCTCACAATAAAGGGCTGCAGCTCGGCCTTGGCAGTTTATCCGGAAAGTGTTGACTATGAAGGGTATCATATAAACAAATTAAGCCCTTGTCTTTTTGAACGGCCAGCTGAGGCATTGCTAATGGGCTCACTGGGGAGATAGGTTTTGTGAAACCATCATTTGGTGGCAACCTTATTCAGTTTGCCATAGCTCTTCTATGGTGTTTTCATTTCTAGCTATCATCTTGAATGAAACTATTCTATCCTGTGTGTGTTGACCCTTCAGTGTCAAGCAGAAACGGCCTCAGCATCCTGCAGAAAGCCTATGATTCACATGGGAGGTCCTTTCAGGTCCTTTCAGCTCCTTTCAGCTCCTTTCAGGTCCTTTGCTCAAATGGGAGGTCCCCATGAAAGGCCTTCATTTCGAGGTCCTTTGAGGATTAGGGTATGTATATATCATTATATATATATAATATATCATCTTCGATAAAAGTACTATTTCAAAACAAATAAACAAATCAATAAAACATTAAACCAAGGTTGACCCAGTTGAAAGGATTCTATGATTCTACTTACGTGGGCCAGGGAGTTAGTTGACTAGTTAGTAAATGGATTATCATTACCTTTTCTATTGTTATGGTTTGGGCACCCAGTTACTAACCAGGAATCGTTAATCTCATGGCCCATCCAAGTATAGAAAATTACTGATCTCAGTCCCAGCTATAAATGAGATTGTATTAAATCCCACGAAAAAATCAACATCAATTCCCATGAAAATCCCCATAGATTCCCAGTAAAACCCCATGCAATCACCATTATTTAAAACCCATTAAATCATCATCAATTGCCTATAAATTCCCATGAAATTCCATAAATTCCCATGACAATCCCATGTGAAGTACCATTAATTCCCATCAATAGACCATCTCCCATGAAGTTCTCATAGAATCACCATTAATGATCAGTAAATCCCATTAAGTCATCATCAATTCCTATGAAAAACCCCATGAAATCCTCATGAAGTCCCAGAGTCTCGTATTAAATCCCATTAAGTCATCATAAATTCCATTCAATCCTCATTCCTCATAAAATCACCATTACCCTCTGGTAAACTAACATATCTATGGAAAATCACAATTTTTCATGGGAAAATTCACTATAAATGGTGATTTTCCATAGTTATGTTAAATTACCAGAGGGTATCCCATACTGGTTGGTGGTTTGGAACATGACTTTTATTTTTCCGTATATTGGGAATGTCATCATCCGAATTCATATTTTTCGGAGGGGTAGGTATACCACCAACCAGAGGGTATCCCATATAAATCACTACTAAATCCCATTAAATCACCATTAAATCCCATTAAATCACCATTAAATCACCATTAAATCACCATTAAATCGCAATTTTCCTATGGTTTTCCTATGGTTTTCCCATTGTTTTCCATTAAATCCCAGAGTCTCCAGCATTTTGGGCGCCCCATTTTTCCGCAGCAGGCGCCAGTCGCGCAGCATCTGCCTGCGCGCCCGGAGCCGTCGCGGCAGCGCCGTGGCCACGCGCTGCGCAGCGCTGCGGAAGCGCCAGGCGTGGAAGGACAAACGAAGCAACGGACGAAGGGAACACCAAGGGCCACGGTCCTGTGTTGTGAAGATTTTTTTTGGGGGAACAAAATGTATCTATATATATATATATATATCATTAAAAGAAATATAATATAATATTATATTATATTATAATATAATATATATATATAATACAATATAATATAATATAATATCATACAATAAAACATAATTTAATATCATACAAAATAATATAATATCATACAATATAATATAATATCATACAATATAATATAATATAATATCATACAATATAATATAATATCATACAATATAATATAATACCATGCAATATAATATAATATCATATCATACAATATAATATAATCTAATATAATATAATATCATATCATACAATTTAATATAATATCATATAATATAATATAATATCATACAATATAATATAATATCATATCATACAATATAATATAATCTAATATAATATAATATCATATCATACAATATACTATAACATAATTTAATATAATATAATATATAAATATGTATCAATAATTTAATATATAATATAATATAGTACATATATATATATATATGACGGCAGTATATACATATACCTATATATATATATGCATGTGGTGAGATGGTGACATGATCGGAAACGGATCAAGGGAGCACATTTGTTTGTTTTGAGAAACAAACGTCTGTCTGTCTGTCTGGGGGGTATGCCGTATGCCTCATTCTCACACCCATATGATCCTGCACGGCCACTTCACTGTATTCAGTGCCACAACTCTCAGATTTCGAATATAACTCAAATGTAACTTGTGATATCCTTAAAACAATATATATATATATTAACAAAAGTATTTCATATGTTCTTTCATATTGCACAAGGGTTGAAAGCACATCCCCACACTGTGCAGACCTTGGGTATCTGTGCCGCTTTCTTCCGCCACGATTGGAAGGCAACCCGCCGCAGCAGCTGGAAGTAACGAAAGCGCTGGCAGGGGAAACCCACACAAGGCCTGAGCCAAGCGCGTTGCGCGGTGAATGGGGTGTTGGGGACATCTCGGAGGTCCTTACAGGAAACCAATATACAGTTATAGCCTATAGTCAGTTTGAACTAGGTCAAAAAACATATATGTAACCAACCAGTTGCAGGAGTTACAATACGTTATAATACGTTATAATACGTTATAATACGTTATAATATGTTATAATATGTTATAATATGTTATAATCCCATTTGTAACTGTTAGTTGGGCCATAACTATAGAGGATTTGTTCTAAAGGTTTCCTGCACATACAGTCTATACAATTCAAGATAGGGATGGGCAACCTGGTAAAAAAAATGAACATTTTTGGGTGTGGATAAAATTGTGCGCCCCAAACTTCCATAAGATGCTATTCAAATCGCTTTTGGAAGGTTTCGAGGAAAGGACCAGGAAATGAATCACCAAAAAAAAAGAATATCGTGGCGTACTGCACGCCAATGCATTCAAGAGATTTCGGAGCCTCCTCTGTTTTGGACTAATTACCATCTGGTTATTTAACATAGCCATGGAAAATCACCATTTTTAATAGGCAAACCATCTATAAATGGGACATTTCCCATGGCAAACTGATAAAATACCCAGAGGGTAATCCGTATGGACATCAGACATCACGAAACATTCGACATTTTGGACGAAACTGCCCCGCTGCTGTTGATGCCCATGTGGTGGTTGAGCCAGCCATCAACTGGTAATGACCACCATGTGGTTGGGGAATCAAAATTTATAGCTGCATGGGTGATGTTGGAGGCATTGGGCCCACATCGTTTCTGAATTTCTTAGTGGAAGGCACTTTGTGAAAGTGATCTTCGAAGCCTCCGAAAAAAGATAGGGACGCTTGTTTTCGTTAAATATACAGTGCTTGCGAAGGGGGTTACAACCAATCATAATTGGGGTACAGTGTGGTGCCCTCTAGTAGTAAGTTAGTTTAGAACCCCCATCAACTATATTAATCTGCCATAAACAATCATTAGAGTTCAACTTGGCTAACTATGGGGCACCACCCGGGAAATGTTCAGACATATCCAGCCATCCGGAACACACAACTTTCCCACTCCAAATGGTCCTTTATCTGGGTCGAGGATCAACAAATTGCCAAGTATAACCTCCGGGTAATTTAACATGGCATTCCACCAAATATCTCGATTGATGGTTTTCCAGCCATAAATTCCACTGTTTATCTAGGTTTTTCCTGGCTGCCATGGCGAAGGTTTTCCACCGGTGCCCGAAAAACGCAGCACCAAATGACCTGGCAATGTCCAACTTGTTATTGGAGAAGTGTTCTTGGAGCCTTCAAAGATCGGCTCAGCTCGGAGATCTGTACCATCTGGAGAATCTGCATGCTCTATATAGGTACTGTTTGATTGGTTGATTGGTTGAAAAGAAAATCAGTGATATATATATATAATATTATGTATATTATATATTATATATATATTTTATTAAATATATATTATATATATATATATATTTGTGTTTTTTCATGAAGAAGCTTGACTGCCAGAAGCAAAAATGCAAAAATATCAACTGGCACTTTTCAGTAGTTGAGAAAGTGAACCCCCTAGGAACAAAACGCGGCATCCCATGACAGGCCCTGTGATACGTACATTTTTGTACTATTAAGCGTACTACTAATATTAGTATGGTATATGATATTAATGATGGTTTGGTATGAAGATTCCCACTTATATCATCAAGAAATCTTTCATTTGATCTGATATGTTTCATCCAATATGATATGAATATATCCCAAATGCGAACCATGGTGCTGGTATATGTACCTACAAAACTTGGTGAACTTGGACAAGGGCACATGCTGGTAAAAAATCCATACATGGAGCATATGGGTAATATTAATATATTGAAAATACTAGTAACTACTTTTATATTTCCGAATTACTAGCAACCACCATTAGTATATTGAAACTATATTAATATATTGAAACTACCACGAATATGGTGATATCCTAAAGTAAAGCTACCGCCAAATTCATCCAATTTAGATTGGGCTTTTCCATGGAATAAACCATCCAGCTATTGGGGTATCCCCATTTATGGAAACCCCCATATTAGTATTTTGAGACTACTAGCTACTACCAGTACAGTTATGGCCCTTAACAATTATAAATGGAAATATAACTCCTATAATTCAGGTTATGTATATATATATATATCATTATAAACACAATAAAAATAACTGTTAAGGGCCACAACTGTAGAACAACTGCCAGCTAGTCTCTTCGCACCATTTCATGCAAAGGTTCCCTGAAACTACTAGGTTACTAGTAACTACAAGTATATTAATAAGTGTTAGTTGGGCCATTTCTACCAGTATTCTAAGGAATAAATATTAAATGGAAAATCCCCATATTAGTAACTATTAGTATATTGAAACCCCCATATTCGTTTATTGAAACCTCAATATTAGTATATCGAAACCCCCAAATTGGCTGGTTTATAAAGGAAAATCCGAAGATGAAATGGATGATGTGGGGGTACCCCTATTTCAGGAAACCTCCACTGGTTGGTGGTTTCAACCCCTCTGAAAAATATTAGTCAATTGGGATGTATGGAAAAATAAAAAATGTTCCAATCCACCAACCAGTCCACATTATACCATCTCACGTTATTTTCCGCCGCATTCGCACCCGCCCCTGCCGAAGGACAGCTGACTCAAGTCCACACACTTCACCTGCGGGAGACATGCCGGCAGCAGACTCAACAGGGAAGCGTTCAACAGAAATGGGGTTAACCCAATTCTTGGCTTAATATGGTGATTAATATGGTGATTCATATGGTGATGAATTGTATTATAAGCAATTTTTTAAGGCTTAATATGGGAAACATTGGATGATACATATAATATGGTATATGTATATTTATATATGTGGATGATAATGTGATGAATAATATGGGAAACATATTCCTAATTTGGGTGATAAATATATGGTGAGGTAATGGGTTATTATGGGATATAATATAATACATATATATATAGAGTTATAATGCATTTAATGGATTATAATGAACTTATTGTTATTGATGATATATTCATGGACTTAAGGTCGGAAACCGTCGGAAACAACTACCATTCGGGGATTGTGAAAATTCCACCCATAAACATGTTGATGACTTGGGGACGGTTTCAGCCGCCTTTTGTTATATCAAACCCCAAGTTGTTTATCTCCACAGTTCAACAAGTTCAAGCCATGATCACTCACTGCTTCAAAGGACCTCACAACATCTACTTTTGAAAAGCACCTTCAAAAACCTCCATGTTTTCATCTGAAATGCTACCCTCCGGTAATCAAACAATGTAAACAATAGAAATCCATCATTGATAGATTGATAGATGATTTCCAAGCTAGAAACCCCCATTTATACGGGATGTTCCATTGCCATGTTTGGTTACCAGAGGCTATAAATCAAATTTTCAAATCCTCAATGTACATAGTTCGATCCTCAATTTCCTCATTGAACCCTCAAACATGGTTAATCTCTGGTAGTCTCAGGATCAGACTACCCATCCAGTGATGTCAACACTTAAAAACATGTATAAAACTCTTAAGTTCCCATATATTTCCATATTATTTTATAACATGACAACAGACATGGTGATAATATGGTAAAAATAGATTAATATACCCTCTGGTTATTTAAGATAGCTATGGACAATGACCCATAGAAATAGATGATGTACCTATTAAACATGGTGGATCTTTCCATGGCTATATCTGTAATAAAAAACCAGAGGGTACATCTTAACTCCCCATGTACCCTCTGGTAAACTAACATAACTATGGAAAATCACCATTTTTTAATGGGTAAATCCACTATAAATGACAATTTTCAATAGCTTTTTGTATGTTTACCAGGCCGGGTAAGTTCCAAATGGTCCATCCATGCGGTCCCACCTGCATGGCACACAGGCCATCTGAGGTGATCTCTGGACACAGCTGCAGCAGCTGCAGATCAAAGGCGCCTAAGGCCTTGACGCAACGCAGCAGTTGCGCTTGGACGTTGGAGGCCTGGGCCATGGACAGTGAGGCGAGGCTTCGGAGGCTTCGTGATTTGTCGAGTTTTCAGTGAGGTTTCTGAAGTCATGGGGGGTACTACCAGATCATACATGTTGATTTTCATGAGATCAAGCATCCAGCCACTGGATAGACTCATCATTTTAGGGAAACCATCATATGGTGAAACAAGTAAAAGGAGTCGTTTTTGTAGTGGGACCATTATCAGGCTGTCGTCAGTTAAAAAAGGAGAGTTCACCCATGAAAGTTGTTTTTTCCTCCGCCTGCCAGGTGAGGGTTGTTAGATTTTATCAGAGCTGTTCTCCTCATCCTCCTCCTCCTCCTCGTCCTCCTCCTTCTCCTCCTCCTCCTTCCTCCTCCTCCTCCGCGTCCCCCTCCTCTTCTACCACCTCTGCCTCCACTTCCACGTCCACTGTTGCCTTGCCAACTCTTGGCCAAGCTCTTGGCCAACTTCGGAGCTCAGTGCGCACTGCTGGACCTCAACCTGGGACCTTCCCAGCTCAGTGCGCACCGCTGGACCTCAACCTGGGACCTTCCCAGCTCAGTGCGCACCGCTGGACCTCAACCTGGGACCTTCCCAGCTCAGTGCGCACCGCTGGACCTCAACCTGGGACCTGCCGAGCTCAGTGCGCACCGCTGGACCTCAACCTGGGGCCTTCCGAGCTCAGTGCGCACCGCTGGACCTCAAAAGCCAGATAGAATGCCAGAAGATATGCCAGATAGAATGTCAGATAGAATGCGAGAAGATATGCCAGATAAAATGCCATAAGATATGCCAGATAGAGTGCCAGGAGATATGCCAGATAGAATGTTAGAAGATATGCCAGATAGAATGCCAGAAGGTATGCCAGATAGAATGCCAGATAAAATGTCAGATAGAATGCCAGAAGATATGCCAGATAAAGTGCCAGAATGTTTGCCAGATAGAATGCCAGAAGATTTGAGTAGATAATATGCCAGAAGATATGCCAGATAGAATGCCAGAAGATATGCCAGATAGAATGCCAGAAGATATGTCAGATAGAATGCCAGAAGATTTGCCAGTAACAAAATGTATAAATGTCATGGTGGGGATCACACGAAGTAAAGTAATTTTAAGGATATAAAATCAACAATTTCATGAGGTAGAGCTGAATAACGGTGTAATTTACCTATATTGTATATAATATATATATAGGTTTGGTTGGGCACTGAGAACACTTTACCACTAATTTAATTTTAGCAGGGAAAATGCTTATGGAATGGGGTACAGTGTTCTTCCTGACAAACACACATCCAAAATCATGAGCAAGAATAGAACGTTTAACATAAGGACAACTATCAACATTCCTCTGATATGACCTTTGTTGCGAGGGAAAGCCCAGCATCTTCTGACTTAACATTGAACATTCTTAGATTATTGTAGAACAGTAAGGTGGTAAACTCGAAAACAAAACTCCAATTTGCAAATTCAAACTGCTGGTGAAATTGGGGATTGTTCATCATTGGGTTTACCACATTATATAAATGGCTTTGTACTCTCTAAAGTTTTAGCCCATATAAAACAGTTTTAACTGGTTTTAAACCTCATCTAAGTGATATTTTTCACCAGTTGCCGGGCTTATTTTATTTCAGGTGGCCACTGGCCTGGCTATAAGATGCTATAGGGCTATAACTGTACAAGGTGGTGCCCCCAAGATAGCTAAGTTGGTTTATAATTTCAATAACTATGGTTCATGGTACGCAAATAACTATAGTTACCGGGGCTTATAAACCAACAAACATAACTGGGGGGCCTCACATTGTGTATATTCAGGTCACTTCAGGTCACCTATAGGGCACCTGAGGCACCTCCGACTCAAAAGGCTGTTCGGAGATCTCTGGAAATGCTTGATGTCTGTGGGTATAACCATGGTACTAATGTGTTAAAAAATTGGAAATATCATGGGAAACTCATCCAGGGAATACTGTATATATCTCCAAACATGGCAATGGAACATCTCCCATTTGCAGTTGATGTCCCCCTAAAACCTCCATTTACAGAGGATTTTCAGTTGCCACGGTTGATTGCCAGCATTAAACCAGATAGTATAATCCCCATACTAATGTATAACCCCATAACATATGGAGGTTTCCTAAAATAGGGCGGCTGCCCCTCAATCATCCATGTTATTTTCGGATTTTCCATTAAAAACATTATAAACCAACCATTTTTGAGGATCCTATTATTTTTCATGGCTCATATGTGTTCCTCTGTCGGAGCTGCCCTCTGGACCTCTCCAAGTGAGGCAAGTCACAGAAAGCTCACTGCAAGCCAGGTGCCACGCCGCGAAACAGCTCCAAACCTGGTGCTTTCTGCTCCAAGAACTTGGGAGCAGCCCAAAAAGATCACCTTTTTTCGAGGAAAATCCAAGGGGATACTGATTTTGCCGTAATTTTGATGTATCCTGACCTGAATTCAATCCTGACTTCCTGTGACTTCAAGTGGGTTGTTCGAACTGTTTACTGCAGCAACAACAACCACCACCACAACAACAACCACAACAACCACAACAACCACAACCACAACCCCAACCCCAACCCCAGCAGCAACAGCAACAGCAACAGAAACCCATCAAAAAATCCATCCCACAAGCTCCTTTCCTTCCCGCTGCCGTCGAGCAGCCATCCTACAGCTCAAAGCCTCCTGCAGCATCAAGCGACGGCCACAAATCCAGCGGGGCAGCTGGCGCTTTCGCGCCAAAATTGCCCAACCTCGGCTTCGGCCAAGGCAAAGAAAGGCTATAACAATTGGAGGTACATACCTGGTACCAGTGCAATTCCACTGAACTAAGTGGATATTGACAAGCATAACATAGCATAACCTACTATGATTCATACCCCAGTTAGATTAATGGAGGATCCCCAGTTATACATAGGACGCATATCCAAATACCATATATAAGGTCTATGTAAGGCTTAAATTTCAGGGGATACATCCGCAATTATGGGGCTTTGCTCCAGCGACACGGGATCGGTGAGCCATCGACTCACAGTTTGCGAAGATCACAACTTCCATAGCCTTTTTTGATCGCCAAATGGTAATATGTTCTGTAAAATGTAAGCACAAATACTTCCATGGGGATCCATTCAATGGAAGTGGAGGTATGATCATGAAGAGTCTCATGCGATAAATTCGTAACTTTAAACAGTATCTAGAACTGGTTGGTGGTTTCAATCCCTCTGAAACATATGAAAGTCAGTTGGGATTATTCCCAATAATTATATGGAAAGCCATAAAATTCATGTTCCAAACCACCAACCAGAGGGGCTTGTAAACCTTGAACACTTTGGGCTTCCCTGGTTCACCACCAGAGTGATCATTGAGGCATTGCACCCCGTTGCATCCCGAAAAAAATCACACATTACCCTTTGGGAAACTAACATTTTTATGTCGTTTTAACCCCTGGGAATTTCCTACAAAAATATGATCTACATAGATCATAGATCTACATAATTAGTACAGTCCTGGTGGGTTTTCCACATCTTTTTGTAAACGTTTACGGGAGGGCATCACACATCGGATTGCCCATTGATGTGGCTCCAACAGCCGGCGGAATCCGCGAACTATCAGACGTCGTCAGAACTGCTATGGGGGGTTTCCATGGGTGCCCCAATAGCTGCAGTTATGGTCATTTATTAGTTATAACTGGTTACAAATGGGATTATACATTCTATAAATGGGGTTATAAGATGTTATAAGTACTTACAACTTATAACTGATAAATGGCCTTAACTGTGGATGGTACTAAAAAAACAATCTCACATCAGCACTGTTGGGAGGCTACCCCCAAAAAACGTCGATCATTTTAGTATTGAAATCCATGGTGACTTCTGTATGGGGATCCACCATTTTATGAACCCCCCAGGTTTTCAGGTTTTCTTGGCCCCCATATCATCCATTCAAATTCCATGATTTTCCATTGTAAAGCATCCATTTTTGAGGATCCCTCATCTATGGAAACCTCCAAATAAGGAGGTTTGCAGCCAGACAGATGGCTGCAGACATTTCTCATCGCCGGAAAAAACCACGGCCGCCTCCTGAGATATCTGCCACCAGTTTTAGCAGATCCTGACTGTTCCAACCAACAAGCAACTGGTTTGCTCAGATAATATCCAATCTGTGTTGTTTATGGAAATTTAATCGTAATTGTGTGAATGGTTTCTGTGATGGTTTAGATCCAACTTGGATGAAATATGTTTATGCACAATTTCTGTTGAACCGAAAACACACCGTAAACAAGTAACCCGAAAATGGTCCCCATGCATGAATCATATATTCTTCATATCACCACTCTAATTGAAAAAACTCTGCAGTATCAGACCCCAACCCGTGTGAGTTAAATTGTCTTATTCAACCGCTAAACCACTTTTTCTGTATAGGCTTACGCGCAGTTATAGCCCTACAGTCACTTTTATAGTCACTTAAAACTGGTTCAAAAAAAACTCATGTAAGTGATATCTAATTATATATATATATATGTATACAAATAATATACTGTATATATTTGTAGTTACCAACCAGTTGCAGGAGTTATTTCATCCCATGACCAGTTCACAACGTTCACCATAGGGAACCGATCCCTCCCGCGGGGTGAACCCTGCACCGCTTGGACCATCTACTGCTGCAGGATTTCGATGGCCCATCCGATCCAAATGGTCCATTTGTATTTAAAAAAACACCATAGACCTGATGCAAAAATGATACTTATATAATGATACTAATATACTTAACATCCATAAGTATCATTATCATACATATATAGTATATTTATATGTAATCCCATGCAAAAAACTTCTACAAAAACCATTTCTTGTGAACAAATCCCGCATGAACATTGCCATTTTCTGGGTATGTTCTAATGTTGAGGCAGACCCACATGTTTATCGTCCAGAAAATTTCCAAGGTCAGTAAATGCCATGAAGTCCCATTAATCAATGGATTCGTTTAAGGGAAATTTTACTTTACACAATGGTGTTTATCATGAAATAGGGGGTTTTCCGGTTTCAATTTTCCAAACCAATCCATTGAATTAAAGACCCAATTAGATATTGGTATGAATATATTATATAATTATGTATATGTATATATAGAGGTATTCATACCATTAATATATACATATATACATATAGATCCCATGAAATCCATTGAAATCCCATTGAAGACTCCCAGTTTTTTGTCCATGAAATCCCAACCTGCGGAGCCGCCGAGCCTTTTGCCGAGGGACGGACTAAGGCTAAGGACAGCCAGTGCCTGTGCCAGCTAAAATGGGGCTGTCATCCTGGAAAATGACTGGGACTATGATTGAAAATCCTAATATATATATATATATATATACATATACATATATATATATATGCATAATTGTACATATATATATATATAATGATACTTATAATGGAATGATAATAATATGCTATATACATATATGAAATGATAATAATATGTTCTATGGATATGATATGTATGTTACCCTCCAGTAAATCAACAGTTCGACCCTGGAAAATGGGGGTTGGAAGACTAGTGAAACCACAAAAACAATGGTGATTTTCAGGGACTATGTTAATTTACCAGAGGGTATATAGTGATAGTTATATGGAATGATAATAATGTGTATGTATGTATATATATATATGGAATGATAATTATAAATGTAATATATGTATGATAATGATACTTATATACTGATAATATGGAAATTTCATATATATATAGTATATATATATATAGTATATATTGGGAATAGTTATGTTGCCTTCTTCAGGATTATCATATAGTTACATTTCTGCATGTCTGCATGTAGTATACATATGTGTATACTAATATGTAGTGTGTATATATATATATATATACATATCCAGTAATTACACTAAGGGTTCTTATTTTCGATTCATATAGGAACTATCCTAAAGTAGGGCTACCCTCCCCAAATCATCCAAGTCATGGACAACCATGACTTAGTACTGAAACAACCATGGTGACTTGGGATACACTAATTTTAGGAAACCTCCATATACTTAGATGGTGGAGTGAGTGAATTAGTTAATGAATGGATTATATTTGGGATATAAATGGTTTCCCCATGGTTTATAACCCAGTTACTAACCAGGAGTCGCGTTTTCTCATGGCCCATCTAAGTAGGATACATCTGCTGGATGTGGCCCCGTTCGATAGCGTTCAGTTGCCTTATAAGTGGCTGAATTCTATGGTTTATGGTAGATTAGATGATATAACTATAGTCAATGAGGTTTAAACACCAACTTATAACTGCAGTTATGGCCCTCAACAGTTATAAATGGAAATAACACTCCTGTAACTCAGGTTACCCTCTGGTAAACTAACATAACTATGGGAAATCACAATTTTTAATGGGAAAATCAACTATAAATGGCCATTTTCAATAGCTATGTTAAATTACCAGAGGGTATATATCATTATAAACCCATAGAAATAACTGCATTCTGGGCCAGAACTGTTTTCGGGGCACCATCCTGTAACTAAATCTTCGGCACTATCCCGGGCCTCATCGCCAGAGGCATCAGGGCCGTGTCGCACCAGGGCCGTCCGTGACGCCAAAGGCGCCACACGTGACGGAGCAACTGATGACCTGAGCCCCGCACGCTGGGAGGTGCCAAGTTGCCGAACGTAAGGGTGAGTTCTATGCTTAATGAAGAATAGCCATATACAGTTAACTATGGGTTAGCTAGGTTTAACCAAGTTGACATTGTAGATGTAATTATAGATAATGGATGTAGATGGGGTTTATAGATGACTTGCAAGTTGGTTAAATAGGTTTATGGAGGATATACCTATAGGCTATAGGTAATGGAGGTGATAAACCAGCATCAGCGTGATTTTTCCCATCGACACGGAAGGTGAACCGTCGCCGCAATGATGATTTTACATCATTTCACTATCAAAAATATGGTGAAAACCATCAAAATTATCATTTGACCAACAATCAATTCTAGTTTGATCATGTTTAACCCATCATTTGATGGTGACTTTTACCAATCAACATAGTGTTTTTGCTGAGACGATAAACCAACAAAATATTGGGATATACTGGCATATATTGAGATTTCCATTCATATGGTGGGATGGACATACCTGTATATATATATATATATACACCACGTATTCACCATATCACACATGAGCCTGTTTCTGGAACAATCCCTGATGACTTAATTTAAGGAATATGAATATGTCCGTAGTTTGAGTGCTTTCAGGAATGTTCTTTTTATTTCAAAGACGATTTTAAGCCATGCAAAGTAAAGTGCTCCCAGCTGTGTTTGTATGCATATATATATATGTATATATATATATATACATGTATACCTATATATATATATACATGTGTATATATATATATTGTATTGGGCCATCAACAAATAAAGTAGCGTACCTACCCTCCAGTAAACTAACATGTTGCTATGTAAAATGGCCCTTTTAGTTCCATGAATTATATCTTGAAACATATCAAAGCATGGTGAGTTCGCTATGTCAGTTTACCAAAGGGTACTGATTAACTAAGTCATGGGCATATATATATATATACACATACTTGACCTTGATATTTCCTCATATGGATAGAAGATGATACAGTAGCACCATCCAAATCCCAGGGGTGTTTACCATTCTTATATGTGCCAGCAATAATTGTGGATACATGTGTGTTGAGTAGATGAAATCAAGTTCAGTTGTTTGATCTACTAACGACGTGACTATTCGGTTTGTTACCCCTTATCCCACTCACACTTGTATCAAGCCAACAATCCCTCAAAATTCTTAACTGGTTGGTGATTTCAACCCCTCTGAAAAATATTAGTCAGTTGGGATGATTCTTCCCAATATATGGAAAAACAAATCATGTTCCAAACAACCAACCAGTTAAATTACACGTGTTGAAATAGTTTGAAAAACTCTGGTTGATGATTCTGTGAATTTCACCACTTGATAAAATATCACCCATATTTTCTATCAACGAAGGACTTACTAGAATGCCAGAGTTCGAAAGACAAGAACTAAATTGACTGTTGGATTCACCAGCCACCCACCGACAACCACGAAGCTGGATCCACTCCAAACAAACATACCCTATGGATCCAAATACAAAAAGGAACGTCTGATCCCCAATCATTGAACCAGGAGAATCATCAGAAAATCCTCAAAAGAGCTGTTGATTTTGATTGGTCAAAATCGCCGTTTTGATGGCTTCAACTACCATTTCTCATGGTAAACTCCCCCCATTCTTTATCTTCATTCGCAAGTCGGTCCCTGGGGTCGTCCTGAAAAGAATCCCAGTGGCCCTGCGAAGTTCTCACCTTCAAATCCAAGTCATCAATTGCGCGGTGCAGCACGGCCGTCTCGTCCCTGATACAATGCACGGTGATTCGATTCATGGCGGACTCAATGGCATTTGCCAAAGGTCTATGGGACTTACAATACCCATATGCGAACCATGGTGCTGGAATATGCACACCTACATTTACCCAATTTTTATTGCCCAGTTTTGTAGGTAAATATTCCAGCACCATGGAGCATCTGGGATAGAGACATGGGATTTCGATGCTTATCCTGAAGGGATTTACCATGAATCTGAACGCTGATCTCAATCGGAAAGTGGATTTACCATATATCTATGGGATATAATTCAAATTTATAATATAAAAATGGGATTTGCATAGTTGTTTTAATGTGATGTACCCAAAACTGTCATTTTAGGAAAAAGAAGGGCCTCTCATTATACTACATTTACATATATATACATATATAATATACATATATCTATTGGTTGTTAAATGGAACCTTCCATTAATCCAGCAACCAGTGGGAAAAGGACATCTATGGATTTACTGGTTTTAATCATCATCAATCTCTGGCTATCTATGGTTATCTCATGTTATCTCAACAAAACCAGTCATCATGACAGTTGATAGGTTTAATGAGTTACCAATAAATCATCAGAACCCTCAACATCACCATAAATCTTAAATCATCATCAATCATGTCAATGGGTTGATTTAAGGGACATCTTGTTTTTGTTTTTTTCTCGGAAACCGCTTGGCGAACCATTTTTTACCAACAAATCTGGAGGGTTTCACCATTGAATCAACATCTTCAACCCCGTGCAGAGAGGGCACCTTTGAGACTCCGTGGACCTAAATTGGATACCGCAAATGTATACATTCATACAGAACAACATACACACTAATATATATATATATTATAATATATATATATACACACATACATATAATATAAGGTGTATATATATATAATATTGTATATATGCGGAAATATATGTGTATATGGGTTTGTCCGAAAAATGGAGTGTCCCTAAATCCACTGGCTAATCATCATTTTTACTATTGACATGGTGAATTTCTGGGATAATCCGACAGGCCAAGGTGGGCCATGCTTAGCTGATGATCCGAGGTGAACTTCACCATGGCCCATCTAAGGGCCCCCGTTCGATAGCTAAGTTGGTGAACATGACTCCAATGTCACTATGGTTTGTGATACATATAAGTATAGTTAATGGGGTTTATAAACCTTAGCTATCGGACGGGGGCCCCACATTGTAATTACTTACACACAATTTTTATTCGTTGAATCCTAATGGTTATAATATGTTATAATTTATTGTTTCAATCCCAATCTTTCTTAGTTGAAACACAATGTTTATGGCGGCAAAAAAAAAAATCAATTGGTGAACCACAATCGTACTCAATGAAACCACCATGTTCCCTAAGGCCCGATGTGTTCATGGTTTAGATCACCATTTTCCCCACTTGCTCTATTTGTTCTCAGTTAAACTATTTTCACCATTACAATAACCTACAATAATCAGTGAACAAGATTACATAAACTAAATGTAAAGCAACTTGTCTCAATATTGATAGTTTAGTGCATTATACGGAATATACAGCATTATGTCAAAAATAAATCGACCTTAACTAAGCTTAATGCATTACCCTCTGGTAAACTAATATAGCTATGGGAAATCACCATTTGGATCCATTCGGAATAGGTAAATAAACTGTTCATTTGTTCATGAGCCATTGAATCAATAGCTATGTTAAATTACCAGATGGTTTCACCCATGAACACAAATTTGTAGTTGATTTAGCTATTTGAAAGTGGGATTTCCATAGTTTTCTGTATGTTTACCAGACGGTAATGCATCATCATCATACCTATTTGTTATAGTTATGTTAATCCATCATTATCATTTATCAGAGGGATTTACCTGAGGGTTAACCCACGTAAAAAGTTATGATAGTTTACCAGAGGGTAACTACAATAAGCATGGCTTATGATACTGATAACTATTGTATTCATGGATGATAGTTAATGGAAGTTATCCAATTTTAATTTTAATATCTCCTCCAGTGATCTATGATGAATACATCGAATCTATTCCATTAAGATGGAATCTATGATAGTTAAAGGTCATCTATCCAATTCATGAAATTTGGAAATGGAAATTTAATAGTTCTCCAAACCCATCTCCATCGAATCCCTACCTGAGCTCGCTGAGCAAGTTCTGCGCCAAGCGATGGTCACTCAAGGCTTTGCGGCTGACCCAATCGATGCAGCCCAGCTCCAAGCGTTCCCTGACCGTCGCGATGCCATGTTTGGAACGTGGGGCGCCATAATTTATATAAGCCACCAAAACGGAAAACAAATATGAGGATTGAAGTCAGAAACATGGTGATCTTATGGCTGATTTCTATACTAGTTGTTTGTTGGTGTCCGAAAAAAAATGTTGGGTTGATGAAAGGGGGGTATATCGAATCAACATATGGATCTATCCCCATGAAATACCATCATTATTTCACCATTGCATCCACATGTTTGCCATTATATTTCGGACTTAGTTGGCTTATATATACATATATATACATAACCATCAAATCAAATGACATCATATCCCCAGTTGAATATATTATATATAATATTCATCACCATTATACCATGATTCGATCACCCAGATATCACCATTTTTTGCCCCAAAAGCCAAGTTGCTTCAGCACCGCGCCAGCGCTGAGTTTCCTTCGCCCGCGGACGCCGCAGCACAACTCGCCCCAGCCGTGGAACGCCACGCGCCGCAGCAGCGACAGCCAGGGCGACGGGTCGGACGTGTCGGGCGTGGCGGCGGAAGGCGAGGCGAAAGTCGCCGGGCGGTGGTACCTCCAATAACAATGTGCCCCCCCCCCAGTTGTAAGTTGGTTTATAAGCCCCAGTAACTATAGTTATAAGTACTATAAACCATAGTTGTTGGAGTTATTTTTCCAACTTGGCTATCTTGGGGGCCTCACTGTGTCACATTGTAGATATATTTATAGTTAATAGATGTTAATATGGGTAAAAAATCTTTAAACAAATTTATATGATTAATATAGATTAATGTTAGTAAAGCAATAGTAAAACATCCTCATGTTCATAAATGGGTAACCATGAATCCATATGGGTGGTTTATCAGGTTGCTTGACTAACATGAATTGATATTCTTACAATGTGGGGCCCCCGTTCGATTGATCAGTTGGTTTAAAACTCCAGTAACTATGGTAGATCAGTTGGTTTATAACTCCAATAACTTTGGTATATGATGGTATATGGTGTGTATAACACTGTATATATATATAACTATAGTTAATAGGGTTTATAAACCAGCTTATAACTGGGAGGCCCCACATTGTGGAGGATATCTATGGATATTTGATAATGTTTGTCTTGTGTTTTTGTTTACCACATTGTGTTTGAATGTATTTGTATGAAGTTGACATTTTTTCTAGTTGTGGGTTAGAACCTCAAAACTGAGTGTGCTAGGTTGGTATTGAATCCGCGTGAATGCTTCCCATGATTGATATTCTGTACCTATATAATGATATATTATTGTTTTTCAATATATACATATGTGCGGCTGTCGAAACTCCTTGTCTGAGGAAAGGACGTCAACATAATTTGGAAAGGTCCCATCGCTAACCACAGTCCCGTAACAATTTACATATCATTGCTTTCATTAGTTTGGAGGGGGGTATCGCTAATACTAAACCCAATTAAAGTAGGTATCACATTCATGAAGAAAGCAGCTGCTCCGAGCTTTCACCTCTCTGCTGGATGAATCTGAAGAAGAACTGCTGGAGGAGCTGCTTTGCAAGCACCCAAAACGGACTCTAATTGTAGACATTGCGGCCCGGAAAGACATGCAGCGGTCCGGAAAAGAGGATAGCACGAGACAGGGATGGAGAAAAATAGAAGGCGAGAGAGAGAGAGAGAGAGAAAGAGAGAGAGAGACAGAGAGAGGAAGAGGGAAAGAGAGAGAGAGAGATAGAGAGAGAGAGAGCGTTGTAAATGGTGAGCAGCGGGGTGTTTCAGAGTGGTTTCAGACCTCTTTTTGTCCTTAGGCTACCTCAGCTTTGGAGAAAAAACAGGAAAGAACGAGAAAAGAAAGAAGAGAAGGAAGAAAGAGACAGAGACAAAGAAGAAGTCTTGAGACGGTGAGCAGGAAGATGTTTCGAACTGGTTTCAGACCTCTTTTGGGGCCTGTTATGGGGCTACCTAGTTCTTAAGACATCCAAAAGAAGGCTCAAAACACATTGTACTTGAAACACATGCGGTCCGGAAAAACATGCAGCGGTCCGGAAAAGCAAGCACCCAAAACGCACTCTAATTGTAGACATTGCGGTCCGGAAAGACATGCAGCGGTCCGGAAAAGCAAGCGCCCAAAACGTACTCTAACTGTAGACATTGCGGTCCGGAAAGACATGCAGCGGTCCGGAAAAGCAAGCGCCCAAAACGTACTCTAACTGTAGACATTGCGGTCCGGAAAGACATGCAGCGGTCCGGAAAAGCAAGCACCCAAAACGGACTCTAATTGTAGACATTGCGGCCCGGAAAGACATGCAGCGGTTCGGAAAAGAGGATAGCACGAGACAGGGATGGAGAAAAATAGAAGGCGAGAGAGAGAGAGAGAGAGAGAGAGAAAGAGAGAGGAAGAGGGAAAGAGAGAGAGAGAGAGATAGAGAGAGAGAGAGAGCGTTGTAAATGGTGAGCAGCGGGTGTTTCAGAGTGGTTTCAGACCTCTTTTTGTCCTTAGGCTACCTCAGCTTTGGAGAAAAAACAGGAAAAAAAACAGGAAAAAACGAGAAAAGAAAGAAGAGAAGGGAGAAAAAGACAGAGAGAAAGAAGAAGTCTTGAGACGGTGAGCAGGAAGATGTTTCGAACTGGTTTCAGACCTCTTTTGGGGCCTGTTATGGGGCTACCTAGTTCTTAAGACATCCAAAAGAAGGTGCTTAAAACAGATTGTACTTGGAACACATGCAGCGGTCCGGAAAAGAGGATAGCACGAGACAGACATGGAGAAAAATAGAAGGCGAGAGAGAAAGAGAGAGAGACAGGGAGAGGAAGAGGGAAAGAGAGAGAGAGAGATTAGAGAGAGAGAGAGATAGAGAGAGAGAGAGATAGAGAGAGAGAGAGATAGAGAGAGAGAGAGAGAGCGTTGTAAATGGTGAGCAGCGGGGTGTTTCAGAGTGGTTTCAGACCTCTTGTTGTCCTTAGGCTACCTCAGCTTTGGAGAAAAAACAGGAAAGAACGAGAAAAGAAAGAAGAGAAGGGAGAAAGAGACAGAGACAAAGAAGAAGTCTTGAGACGGTGAGCAGGAAGATGTTTCGAACTGGTTTCAGACCTCTTTTGGGGCCTGTTATGGGGCTATCTAGTTCTTAAGACATCCACAAGAAGGCTCAAAACAGATTGTACTTGAAACACATAGCAACAACAGTGCTTTGCGCAACTAACCCAGAGCCCAAAACTGTGGGGCGCAGATGAAACATCTCAAATGGGGGTATCGCTATTTGGAAAGGTCCCATCGCTAACCTCAGTTTTTTGCATTTTATGACAACCAATGTCCAGCGAATACATATCTTCCATAACGTGAGTTTTGACGGTTGTTCATATATACACACCATCTCAAACTTGCACAACTCGGCTATAATGACGGTTGCTGGCAGTCCCCAATGCCTATGGGCGTCATCGCAAGCTATGGATCAGAAGCTTGCAAACCTGTGAAAACACATCAAAATACCTGGCGTGTCTTGCTAAAAACATATCTAGTGTTTATATCCCAATGTGTTTAATCCATACCTACTGTTTTCACATCAAAATACCTATAGGACCTAGATGTTTATCCTCCATATGACCAAAAACACTAGGTGTTGACCCATTCCCACGTTTCTCTGAACGAAATCTTTATGTTTATATCCCTTTTCAAACACAGCAATTCTCAGGCTGCGGAGGAAAACAGGGGTGGTCACTTTCAGCGATGAATTTCGGCGCACCGTAATCTTGAGTCATCTGATAGGTCGACAGCCACCAAGTAACGCTTCGATTTTCCTCGACTCCTGCGGTCAGGATCGCGAAACTGGTATCATTCATGTAGAAATGGTGATTTCACCCTTAAATAAATCTGGAAAAGGAGAAGAACTTCATGCACTTAAAAATAATTTATAGTGGACCCAGGTACCGGATCCTTGACTGATGTGCTTTCTCAGACTGGGGAAGATTAAACGGTATACATTTGGTTTATGGTTTGTGACATTTTCTGAACATATACCATCTGGTTATTTAACATAAATATGGAAAATCCAGAAAATAAATGGAGGTTTATGGCTGGGAAAATCATCTGTTTCTATGGGCCATGGCTTCCATAGCTATGTAACATTGTGTAACATTCAATCACCAAACGGTAAGGCCATTTGGGGATAATTCCCTTTACTAATCAGTTACTGTATAATTTACCCAGACAAATGACCCCATATGCTCCATGGTGCTGGAAAATGCACATCTACATTTACCCCCAAAAATCACCCAGTTTTGTAGGTTAATATTCCAGCACCATGGTGAGCTAATCTGGGGACTAAAAACGATACAATCATCGTACGCCCAGCCAAGCCGATTTCGGAAACCATCCCAGGTGTTTTCACCATCGATGACTTACCCATCCGTTTGTATGGTTAAGTGGCCCTACTGAGCCAAAAAAACTCCTATAACTCAGGTTACCCTCCAGTAAATTAACATAGACCCTGCCAGTCATCGGGTTGGAAGATTAGTTTCCATTAAAAATTGGGGATTTTCAGGGTCTATGTTTATTTACCAGAGGGTATATAAAATTATAAAGCCATAAAAATAACTGTTGGTTGGGCCATAACTGTAAATCACCAGTATCATCATGGACAAGTCTGCAAGTCGCATGACAGTCAAGAAACATTTTTTCATGCATACCCAGTACTGTACTTTATCCAATGGTTGATGACAAACAACAATAGTTGATTGCTACTACAGTTGAAAAAACAAGATAACAATAATAAATCATGTTCATTCATTTTCCGTAATCCATGGAGACACATTTACCGTTTGTGGTAGGACTGTGCGTCATCACACAAAAATGATCCACATGTATTAATATGTATGTATATAGAATATGTAAACATACATACGATCCCATCCCCCTAATATGATATATAACTGGTTGGAGTATACCTACCCCTCTGAAAAATGATGGAGTTCGTCAGTTGTGAGTATGAAATTCCCTTTTCTGAATGGAAAGTCATAAAAGTCATGTTCCAAACCAACCAGAAATACCCCTTTTTGGGGGCCGCCAAAAGGATTTGCTCCGGCGATCTCCGCGTCCTCCAGCGATGAAAGGCCGCCAGCAGGTTATGCCAATCCGCCACCTGCTGGTAGCGATTCCGCAAGTAGCTCCGGGCTCCTAAGCCTCGGCCGCAGAGTGAAAGGGTCATCGGTCAGGAGAAAACACAGAAAAAAAACATAAAAGCCAACAGTTGTGGCCCGGAAAACAGTTATTTTTATGGGTTTCTAATCATATAGAACCTGAGAAATGGACATTTAACACTGTTAAGGGCCATAACTGAAGGGATCTTCATTACGCGTCATATTTGTTTAAGGGTTATTTTTTTGGGGAGGTACCAACAAGTCCTTTAAGAAACAGTTGCATTTCAGACACATGTTCATTGGTGGGGTACCAACAAAATGCTTTTTGTTCATGGTTGGGCTTTGATTAGATGAACAATTTCAAAACCTTCGGCTGCTTTATGATCGGGTGACTGTGTCTATCTCATGATCGTGGGAACTGGCCTTTTTTTGTTACTGGGGATTTTTGAAACCCGAGCGAATCTCCATTTCAAGATCCATTATCATCCATTATATATCAAGCTGTGTTGCTGACATGGCTCAATTTCTCCACCAAAATCCAACCCAGATGCGAGCCATGGTGCTGGAATATTTACATACTGGGCCATTTTTGGGGTAAATGTAGGTAAATATTCCAGCACCATGGAGCATCTGGGCAAGTGATTCTGACTGTTTTCACCTCATTTCCTGAGTGTTTAGAATTGACCGGGACTTCTCTCCCTCGAATCTGCGGCCGTTCGATAGCGAAGTTGGTTGTTTATAGCTACAATGATTCAGGTTGTGGGGGATTCATTTGTAGTTAGAATGGGGTTCTAAGCCAAATTATAACGTTTTGGGGCCTCACTATGTACGAACTAAAGAAACATGGGGAAGTACCATTGGAGTTGAATCATGTTGAATCCACATCTCCGCCGGCTTGAAAAATATCGATAGAATCCTGGCACTTTCAGGATGCTATTTGGATGTTTCCAACAATATGGTACCCCAACAAGTGCCCCCCCCGCCTAGTTGTAAATTGGTTTGTAAGGTTAGTTCATAACCCCCAACAAGCTAGGTAGTTCAACTCCTATGTAGATTATAATATATGATACCCTTTGGTTATTTAACATAGCCATGGAAAATTGTCCATTTTTAATAGGTAAACCCAGGTAAACCATCTATAAATGGGCCATTTTCCATGGCTATGTTAAATAACCAGAGGGTACTATATAATAACCAATCCACAAGGGTACATTTGGAAGTTTCCGTTTCGTCATACGGCTACCCCCAGCCATCATCCATTTTAGATTAGGATTATCCATGAAATAAACCATCCAGCGATAAAGGGGTATCCATAGTTTATGGGGTACCTATTGGGGTACCACCATGACTATGGAAACCTCCATGACTATATAAACCAACCTGAACCAACCTGAACCAACCAGCTGGGTACCAGCATGACTTACAATGTGAGGCCCCCAAGATAGCTAAGTTGGTTTATAACTCCAATAACTAGGGTTTATGGTACGCAA